TTTGAAATTAAAATTAATTTTGAGCTATGGAATTAAGGAAAGTAGTATTCACCCGGGAATAACAATGAACATTGTTATAACTCATTTCAGCATGTCTATTATAAGAAGAATGCCAATTTTAGAGAAAGGAAATTTCAGAAAAAAAATCTTCCTCATCATTGAAAATACTTAATCTTATCTATCATAAATATTTTTTGGCCGTCTTATAAAGTGTTCATTAACACAAAGCATCACCACTCCATGTATGCAGACTCCCAGTATAAGAATAACACTAAATCAGCATTTAAATCTTACCTAGACAAGTTTTAGACTTATATGAATATTTGAGCTGAGCTCACTTCTAAGAAATAGTTGTGATTTATTTTTAAAGTATAAGCTATTGTCAGTGGAAAACCTGGTTGAAACACGATATAAATCGGGCAAACCATATTGAAACACGATATTATACATTTATTGCATATAAACATAAACTTCAAATTCGGCACCGCTCTTAGAAATTCACTTTCAATTTTAACGTAGTGTTATTGAAACAATTAACAGATTTGTGACGTGAACAAGGCTATTGTGACGTCGACTACTCTCGGGGGTATTCGTTCAATGAACGATAACTATTGCAGGAAAATTCTCTAGATCTCCGAAAAGGTTGGATATGATGAAAAACATGACGACGACAGGAAAATATGAAGCTTTGTGGCCCTGTCACGTGATAATCTAGAACCAATCAGATAACACATTGTATAGAATAATTATAATGAAGTATAATAAAAAAAGTTATGATACTGAAGATCTATACTAAATGAGTGTTCAATTCTTTCTTCATACGTACCACACCTGCTACAACAGCAAAGCACAGACGCTTCAAATATAAAATGAAAGCCTTGATCTCAGAATCGTGTTGACGCGACAGAAGGGAGTTCACAATTCGAACACTAAGTGTTCATTCTTGTAAATGAATATCAATCAAACGATTTCTTCTCTATTGTTGTTATGAGATTAAGATTTTTTTAAGTATGTCAAGGCTATTCTTTATAGAAACTAAAATAATGTAAGTGTATTTCTTAGGATTTTTTTTTTTTAAATTGTAAATTCAGAAAAAAAGGTCCGTTTCAGTTTGCATTCTGTGAATAGTTACATGTGACCAAATCTTGAAAATGCTATTAGTAACAAAGTTTTCTCGGTGTTGATTTTTTCTCAGTCTTGAAACCTTTGAAAGATATGAGCTTAAGTGAAGCTTTCCTAAAAAAGAATAAAAGACAAAAGGCGATCTAATGTTTTAGAGCGGAATTTAAAAATAAAACTGGCGTATATCCAAGCAGATAGAAAAATTCCGAATTAAAAAAAAAAATCATTAATTTTATATCACAACTTATAAAAATCTTTGCTGCCATAATATTTTTTTTCTCCTGCAAATTTTGACCAACCTTTAGATAAATCAGACCTTTTATAAATCAATTTTGGACTTACATGTATTATAGTATATTCAACACAGTTGTATTGACATCTGCCCAACACACTGAAAAAGAGTGACTGATGTTGGACCAACAACTAGTCAACATGATTGGCTAGATAAGATTACATACTTGCCAACACAAAAAAATCTTAGTGGCCAACAAAAGATCACTACTACGGGGCAACATTTGCCTTCTTATGAGGAGAGTTTTCTAGGAAAATACATTTTAAGTAAAACTTCTTTCAATCCAAACAAACTGCCTTCAGTGAAGCTAGTTTTTTGCCAAAAGAAAACAGAACAGCTTTTGTGATTCCAAAAAATGTCATTTATTAAAAATGACGATAAAAATCCACATTATAAAAAATTACTGGGAGGCCAAAAACCAATATTTCCTGTAATATACATTATAGGTAAAACAGTCCAAAATGAGTACATATTACATAATTACAACAAACATTACACACTGAAATGGCCTCCCAGAACTAGATGATAAAACAAAAGCAAAAAAGGTGGCCAAAAATTCTGCTGCAAAGACATTTATTGTTTATATATTAATACGATTCATTTTGATCGCATTATTATGAATCCGAACCTTGTGAATTTGTAGAGCTAGTCATTATTTGAATACATTTCAAATTCATCATTTCAACAGCGAGGAAACCTATGTACAAGATGCCAGAACAACCAATAAACACGAAACTAGACACACCATGCTTAACAATGGATCGATATTTTAAGACACTGAAGGACAATATTCTTCCTTTACTTTTGAACTGTTCTGTGACTTTTATGATTGTTCCATGAGTTGTTGTATTTGCTTGTGACGTCATCAGAAAAAGATTCATGTTGGTAGTTGAGGCTGTATCTTCTGTTTCTAACAAAAAAATAAAAAAATAAAAAATAAAAAAAAATGTTTTCCCCATATTTTTGATGGATTTTTCTCGTAAATCTTTTTTTCCTAGTTTTTTAATCTCATTAATTTTATATGTTATTTAATACTTGACCACCACAAGCAGAAAAGTGGAAGAAATGTTCGTAGAATACATTTACAATTATTTGTCCAAACTCTTAATTCATCAAAAATCTTAATCCTCAATCATACAAGTGTCAAATTTAGATTTTTATTAAAAAAAATGAACCCCAGCCCCCTTAAAAAGTCAATAAAATAGCAATGCTCATATATCCAAATTTTGTCATTTTGTTTCGTTTTTTTTTAAACAGGAAACAATTATGATTTGGGTCGAATATTTAGTATCTTAAATGCATCCATGGCTAACCTGCTGTAGACTTTAACATACATCCATCAAAGGCGTTACAGTTTTCTTTGGAACAATTGCAGTTTTCTCTGCATCCAATTCCAAACCTAGGATACTCACAAACTGAACACAAAAAATCAAACAATTCACTTAAAAGGCAATTTAATTCTTTTTTTCTGTGAATTCGAAACATTTCCTTTAATACAAATAAAAGAATAATACGTACGCAAACACACATCTTTCTCGGTACTGTATTTTTATCCTCTGCAGCATATTAAAGGTCTAGATATTATAATCACAAAGGAATTATGATTATACTAGCAGTGATGTAACTTAATTCTTATTTTAAAAATGAACTTATAGTTAAACGGCTTGATAGTCATAGCATGCACTTTTTTCTCTTTCTGAATGAGAACACTGATAACTTTTTAATAGAACAAAATCATATCTATGTCACAGAGACATACTTCTTGTTCTGATATAACATTGAGAGAGCGTAGTCTATAAATAGATCTAGACGTTTGTCTCTTTTACTCATGTTGAAACATTAAATTATTGCTTCTATCACATTATTTGCCTGAGAGGGGGAGGGGGTGTTATCATCTATTCTTGTTTAGGAGAGCAACCACCTGATTGGTGGAGAAAATCAGTTTTTTTTAAGTCAGGGTGTTTTTAGTTCTACATGTACGCATGTTGGCCAATGTATTTTTAATATAATTTGGTTTGAATTTGGACCTCATGCACTACAGCCCAAAGTTGTTTCATCGTGAAAAAAAGATTAACCTGCTAGAGTCTATGCACTTTTCTTCAAAGTCGATCTTTTTTTAGAGATGATATCTATTATATGAATTAAACACAAAACATCCCACCATAAATTGCCCTTTAAGATAAAGAAAAAGACATAGAATAAATTGCAATACATTACGGTTTCTACAAACATATATTTTCTTTGTCATCTAAAATCCACTGTCCATTTTCTTAAATTATTTTGATCCCATTTACACAATCAATAAAAAGATATTTTGTTATGGCATACATTTAATGTAGAAATATGAATACTATTTAGAGAAATGCTACCTTCTAACACACCGCAAGTGAAATATCCCTATTCAATACACAAATCAAATCTAATGGCATGGATATTTAACTATTCCAGGACAAATTTCTGTTTCTAGCAGGTATTTTCATATTTGTGTTTAAATATCACAGAAAGTTAGAATAAACCTTCCCTTTGTTTATACCAACTGAAGTACTGAGAAAAGTAAAGACGTAGAGAATAGGTAAAAATTACAATTAACTTACCCGGAACATCGGCCAAATTGTCCAGAAATGACAGGAAGAAAACTAAATAAAACAATACCCCCAAAGGGCAAGAGGTATCATTAAATTTATAAAACTGTTCATTATATTTCTTCCTTGTGCATTTCCTTCCTAAAAAGCAGAATTCTGACTTTTAAAACTATTCATTAAGCGCTCAATAAGTGGAGACAAGTCTATTTGTATTTTTGGTATTTAGCATTTTATAATGAATTACACAAATGAATTGTTAAGCGGAAGAGTCCCCAGCAAAAACAAATATTTTTTAGAATTTGGCTTATTTAGATACCAGAGTGACCTATATAATCATTCATTTATTCAAATATCTTATCAAGTGCATTTAAGTAACAACAAGCTTAAGCCAAACGATTTACTCGGAAACGATGTTTTACATTTTGAAAGAAATTGGGATTAGATTTGTTGATTTCAAAAATGTTCATATGTGCTTTCAAGAATTTATATGCTAGAAATTCGAGTAGTAATGACGCTGTTTTTTTTTTCTAAATCTGATTTTGTGGTTATTATTAAATTTCGCTATTTTTTTTCTTTCATGATTTTATTGCTTTTCATTTGGTGTACGTTTCTGTAAAACACTTTAGCAAAATTTGGGCAAGCTCGTATTTGACAAAATACTGATCAACATGTCAGTAAATCTGGAAGTCATCTGAGTTCATTTTTTTATGTTAAATCATCTCAGTGCTTTGTTAAATAGCACCAAAAAATTGATCCTTAATCTTAATATATCCCGGATCGTCACGGTAGCTCAGTCGGTAGTCGCTCCGTTATTGGAATTTATTGGTTCAAATCATGGCCGCACATGCCCTTAGTCGATAAAAAAAGGTAGCAACTGTTCCTACGCCAAGCTCCCGGCACTTTGAAGTGAAAGTTGCAGGTCTTTTGGACGAGGCCTTAAAAACCGTGTCATGGTAGGCGTTGGCACGTTAAAGTCAACTCACTGCTTAATGACCCTGAATTCATAGTTCCAAGAGTTATCTTTAAGCCCCTCCCCCTTACGTCATCTTCGACCTACATCACAAACATTCAACATGGCGAGCGATTCAGCCTCGGCAACAGATTCGGTGGTATATGTTCCAGATACGATATCGGTGTCGTATCTCGACCGAAGTAAAGATTTATCCCAGAAAGTGTTGGAGAAGGGTTTAAATTGTTTCACACAAGGTTGTATTCATAATATCCGAGTGTCAAAGCCTGAAAATAGGATACGAGTTGATGCAAATTGCTGGCGATCCAAGAGGAAGTCACAGCCGCCGTATTCGCTGCAGATCGAAATAAATGTCGAAAAATCAACTTTGACCGAATCATATTGCAAATGCAAAGTAGGGTATGTTTTTTCCCACAACGATTTGATAAATCAAATTAAAAATATAACGGAATAATATTCACAATAGTTGCTGATAATCGTCATAACTAAGTGAATGCACTTAGTTTGTCACATCGTTATGCGAGTTAATGCAAACCATTACAGAGCTTGTGGATTTCTTTTAAAATAATGATACACTTTAGTAAAAATACAAAATTAATACATATATCCTCAAAGTAGGACTTCCTTTTCCTTACAGACTCGATGGTCACTGTTCACACATTGTTGGACTTCTTAAAACACTACAAGGCTTAAAACTGCACAATTTCAAAAATGCACCTGATCACCAAAGTTGCACTAGTGGCATGTTCCCCGGGGTACCAAAATAAAACTTGTACTCCTAAACCGTGTTGTTGTTGCCAGGCCCAAAGAAAAAAGAGGAAGCCAGGCATTTGCCATTTTATACGAAAATTACAAGTAATTCAAATTTTGACTCTAAATTAAATTAAGAAAAATAACAAACTTGGTTATATCAAGTATCATAGTATTCTCTATGTATTAATTTCTGATGGGTCCCTGAAATATTAACACACTATCGCACTCAACTATCCAGCAACTATCCAGCCTCTTTTTTAAATATTTTTAAGACTTCCACGAGTAGACAATGATGACATAGAGAAGCTTATGAACATAAAAGGTACGCCACTGGAGTATATGATTTCTAAAGAAGCACCAACATCAGAGTAACACTTTGGAGAAGTTCAAAACACTCTCGTGAATTTGGAAGTTACAGTTTCATATCACAATCAAAATAGCCCTATACTTTTCAATCCCCAGTATGCAAGTTTCACTGAATATTTCACAGAGAAAATAAATACAATGTAATAACAAGAAAAAAAAAATAAATTACAACACAAGGATTTATTGCTTATCTTCAACAAAAGTATCCTGAAAACGTTTTAAAAAACAACAGATAGACCAGATTTTATTAATCTTAGAAAACATTGAAGTTGGTATGTCATGCTTTACAATTAAAAATTTCTTAATCTTGGCAATCAATGTCTCTATATGAATTCTATGTTTGGCTATTTTTTGGGTAATTTTAATTTCTCCAGATGTCATTTATTTTCCCCCTTTTATGAAAGGTGGAGTGTTGAGTGTTATATTAATTTTATTTAGTTCTTCTTCAATTGTGAAGCCTTTGTCTGCCATCACAGCATCTCCATCTAAAATATGTCCACAGTCTTTTAGATTGCCTAAAAGTTCCAGAAAACCACTGTCCTTAGTTAAAGCTTTATCTGAAATTGACCCTGTAAAAAGTTCTGATATGAACATTACACTTCCTCGAGGATCACAACCAATCAGACACTTTAGTGTTGTGCTGCCTTTGTAATCCGAATAAAATTGGCTCTGTAGTCCTAGTGCACATGGAGTTTGTGTTTTCATTTCAGTGCCATCCATGATTATTAAAGTGTTCGGAAAATCTTTCTTAAATTTTGATGGCATATTTTCTATAATTGTTTCTCTGTGTTGCCAAATTGATAATTGTCCAAATTTGATATACATGTGATCAATCCAAGTGTTGAAAACTACTCCAGCAGACTGAATTTAAAGTCCAAATTTTGTTGCTATAAATCAGCCAAACTAAAATCATGTCTACAAAGGATAAGAGTAAGAAATAGACCATCCTCATTTGACAGATTTTTCAAATCACTACGTCCTTTTTCGTAACTCAAGGTAAAATAGTCAGGGATCAAAAAAGACAAAAGTGCCAAAAAGCGAACATAGGTAATGCCATCATAGTGTTTAAATAAGTTTTTATGATTGGTCTTGTTACTTAGAACATATTTCAATCCAAAATGTTCTGATTTTACTTCCTTTATCTGTTGTTTTTTAAGGTCAGAAATGATGCTTTCTTGTTCTAGAACTTTCAGTTTCAGTGATTGTACCTCTGCTGTCATGGACAAGAATTCCAAAGGAGACACTACTGAAATAAATAAAATTTATGTAATACATGAAATGTATAATCAATGTATAATAAATTTAATGTATTGATTTTTTTTTTTTGCAGACTAGGGATCTTAAACGCCATGAGCCTGTCAACAGTGTAGGGTGTGAAGACACTTCCATTCATCATAAATCCCCTATTACTTTGCCCCCAGAGTTTGTAAATTTAAATAAAGTGATGACACAAGAGGAAATTATAAAAATAGAGATTGAGACAAGAAAACAACACAACTCTGGTGATTGGTATAAACACAGAAAGGGCAGGCTTACAGCTTCCAACTTTGAGAAGGTGATATCACAAAAAAGCAAGGCTTTTTGATTCGTTTATCAATGATGTTTTTAACAGGTCTTCTAAATCATCCCCTGCTATGGATTATGGTCGTAAACATGAACAAGATGGAAAAGACAAATACCTTGAAAAATTTCCTTCTCGACATATACATGAATGTGGCTTAGTAATTAACAATGAATTTAATTTTTTAGCTGCATCACCAGATGGTAAGGGCTCTAACTGGCGACGTATTTAGTCGCCATGGCGCCTAAAAATTTTTATTGGCGCCTAAAATTTTTCCATAAGTCGCCAAATTGGCGACCTTTTTAAATTGACTTAGCGATCGTCGAATTCCGGAAATTTTCTCATTTTTAACTTTTTTTTCTGAAAAAGCGAAAAAAAAAAAAAAAAAAAAAATAAAAGAAGAGGAAATTATTTTTAGCAATGGATATGCCATGTTTTCTAAGGCACGTCATGGGTTCCTATATTCTATTTAATTTTTAAGATTGGTGCCTTAGAAAAAGTGCCTGGCGACTAAAAATTTGCATTGGCAACTATTTTTTTTTTTTTTTGATAAGGCGCAAGATGGCGCCTAAATTTAAGAGACCACTTAGAGGCATGATGGTGTAGATTGCGATAATGGGGATTCTGGACTCATTGAAGTTAAGTGTCCTTATAGTGCAAGAAACATGGACATAGAGGGGGCATGTGATTTACCAGGGTTTTATTTGAGAAGAAATGGAAACAACATGAATTTAAAGAAAAATCATAATTACTACGCACAGATACAAGGGCAACTTATGATTACAGGCTGTAGATTCTGTGACTTAGTTATAAATACACAGAAAAGTATATTTGTAGAGCAAATACTACCTGATGTTGAATTTATGAAACCTATGTTGTCAAAGCTCTGTATTTCATGAAAGACTATGGCAGTTAAATAAAAAAAAAAAAAAAAAAAAAAAAAAAAAAAAAAAAAAAAAACAACTACAAAATATCTTACATCTTTCACTTGTCTGTGTGCTTTGTTAAAGGGTTCCACTGCACTCAGTTTCATTGAGCTCATGAGGATCCGAATTTTCCCTAAAAGACAGTTACATTGTCACAATGTCAGTTGTGTAATAATTTTAATGTTTATTAATGTAACTGATAAATAATTTGATCAATTTCCTAATCTTAGAAAAATTTTATAAAGCATATGGGTATAATGAGGCTTGCAAGGATAAAAAATATTCATACTTATCCAAAAATATTTCTTCCAGCTTTTGTTTTTTTTCCTTTGGTGTTGGTTTTGAAGACTTACATGCACTCCGTTTCTTTGGTAAGGGTCGACTTGGAGTGCATGTACTTCCACATGCAGGAATAGGATCTGGATATAACTGAGTTGGTCCATTTTCCCCAAGAAAGTGCTGTTGAAATACTCAAAATATATTGAAATAAACATTTTTAAATGATGCATATGGATTCTTGAGATGATTATTTCTCATTAATCAAAGTTTATGCCTCACAACAAGTGTATTATACTATCAGTATACAGTATCAAGGGTACTTGTATTAAACAGCGTAAGCTAAAACTAATTTAAATATGCAACTTAGCATTAACCAGATCCATCCCTAATCTTGGCTGAATTAAAGTAAAATGGACACCATCGTTGAGTAAATATGCACCTATATATGCTACATACATGTGTATTAGTAGTGCTACCGGGGTAGAAAATTCATCACGTTTAGCATATTTAACCTCCATGAAAATAATAAACAAATATATATATATGTATAATATATAAACAGAGACATAAATGTCTCTGATATAAATAACACTACAGCACAGGCCACAATCGCATGCATTTGGCATTTTACATGTACTTACTTTACTGCACACAACTTTGTTTCTATTTCCGTCAACATTGTTAACCTTTAGTTCACGATGGGGACTACCACATGCTTTGATCCATCTTAACATTTTTCTTTATCCTTTTTAGGCTGCGGAAACGGAATAAATCGAACTCCAATTAATCTTTCGGGATATCTTTCGTCTGAATTGCAAGTGCCCCACACACATCTTCTTACCATCGTTGAAAAATAATCACGTATCACCTTTCCGCCGCATTCTGTTTGTGATGCGAAATGACGTCTCATGAAAGTTACAGATGCGGGCAGAATAAATCGAATTATTTGACTGGCTGAGTAATCTTATCTCATTTAAATATCGGATCAATGAATTCAAAGTAAATTTGTTATTCACCACTAACCGTTTTAAAGATTGAGTTTAACCTAGTACGCCCCATCTGCAGATATTTGCTTAAAAATACAAATAATTATCATCAATGCATGTTAGTAATTTTATTAACAATCTTTTATTAAAATCATTAATATTAATTCATATTGGATATGACGGCTTTACTATTGTTTAAACATATTATTGAAAAGACAATCATAGTAACTTTAACTGAGAAACAATAACATTCTTTGCTAAACGATACTTTTCTGAAAGTTATGTGAAATTGACTTACTTTCGAACATTTACAGTTTACATGTGTAAATTGTTACTATTTTGATATTGATATGCATATGAAGTTCTGTATTTCATTCTGATCTACAAATCAAATATTTACACTTTACCACAATAACATATATCAGTAAAAGGTATATTACCTCAAGTCGCTGAGATGAGAGCTGAAGCTCTTGAATATCTTCTTTCAAACATTGTTATATCTTTAAATATTTGATGGCAAAAGAATGGTTACACGAAGAATATCCTGCGTAGCTTGTGCTATTTCTTATATTGACTGATGAAATAAAGTTAATTTTGTAATCCAAAACTTTATCAGAGTGTAATCTAATTGTGCAAAGGTCTGAAAACTGTGTTGTAATATAGCCATATATTAAATACATCAATTAAATATGTGATACAGAAAGTATTATATCACCTACAGCTGCTAAAATTGATGAAGGTACGTGTAATATAAAAAGCTTCATACTCCACCTTACCTTTAATAAGGTTTCTTGAAATCAGATACACTGTAGATGGATATTTAGCAGCCATATCTTGCATTGTTATGTTCAAACCAATGACCCCAGAACTCACAACTCTCTTAGATTTCAAATTAATTAAAATATTACAATCACTTTATTTCTTTGATATATGATTAATTTGATTGTTCTTTTTTTCTTTGCGTTATCAGTTACTTCTACGATAAAAAAGAAAAAGAAACATATCGTTTTAGATTATTGGCCTTATAAAGCTGACTCAGACATTAAATTCATTTGCTTTCTTCATGGAGGTCCACTAAGAATCCTTAACACAACAGTTTTAGAATTTTTTTTCTCGCAAAAAAGTCTGTTTATTTAATCTTTTATGTAACATTTTAGCAAATCCCTCCATATATGATTGGAAATTTTCTAATTATGTGTTCGGTATATACATTTTATCAAGAATATGTGACATTTTGTACAACACCCATTAACCTAGTAGTAATTTTATAAAGTGCAGAAACAGCTAGGAAAACTTTTTTGTTTTGTTTTGTTTTAATTTTTAATTCAAGAATGTGCATTAGATTACCTGGTGAGGAACTTGAAATGCAACCCCTAAACAGATTACATGACAGTGAATCACAGTTACACACACGAAGACAACCAGGTCCATAGTTTGGATACTGACATTCTGTGCAAGTACATTAAGATATGCTAATGTAGAGTAATCTGGAATCCATTGTTATTTGAAGATGTAGAATTCCAGTGTACATGTTGATATTTAGAACATAGTTTTACACCTATTTTTTTTTCCACGCCCACCCATTCGTTATCTCGAACTCAATGGAACCAAGAAAAAAATTCGAGATATCCGAGGATTCTAGATATCACGGGTAAAAAATACTTAAAGATTAAGTGGTTGGGACTTCGTCGTGATATATATATATATATATATATATATATATATATATATATATATATATATATATATATATATATATATATATATATATATATATATATATATATATATATATATATATATATATATATATTAAAAAAATTGAAATAAGAAATGTTTTATATTGAAAAGTATATTGCAAATATATAAAAAGGATAAAATAAGCAGATTTTATCATCAACTTACTTTTTTTCTTGAAATGAATTTGATAATTCCACTAGAATTACGCATGTGTAGGGGGACATTTTCAACCATGTCAAAATAAAAGACAAATATACGGCGATAATACTTTGTACACAGAATATCTTCATTCACTACTGTTTAGGAAGGATAAAATTAACATACAAAAATATTTTAATGCACATTATGTCTCAAATAAAAGAAAAATTGAAATTTATTTCTTCTCTTCTTCTCTTTATACACCGGGTACATTGTTATAAAATGGGCCATTGTTTATGCAAACTATTTTATCTTTCTTGTCTACTGATAGAAAATTTACGTATTTATCAATTAAGTGATCGCAGATTCAACAGAAAAGCACGTGTGCTTAGAAATTAACAAATCTGTGGGATGCTTCCTGTGTCTGTCATGGCAAGTGGGTGTTACGTTCTATTTTAAGAATGGAGCTTGGAGATGCTTCTTCCTATACATTTGACTTAAAGGTTATGAATATTTAAATTTTCTCCAGTGTTCTATGCAAATGTATTTACATTTCGATAAGAAGAGCTACCGAGAGAGACCGAGAAGCAACGAACGTTTGTCTGTCAAGTGTTACGTTACACAAAGTATGTTACGTTCATAAAAATATAAGTTGTCTTTATCCTACATTTTAAAAACATATCATCATATATTATCAACTAGTAGGTGTATTTTGGATTTTTTTTTTTTTTTTTTTTTTTTTTTTTTTTTTTTTTTTTGAATTATGAACTTGCACGGTCTTCATCACTACATAAACACTTAAAATTTGACATTTCTTACATAACGTACCAATTGACAGACATTGCCTGAATACTATCGTAACGGTGAGGGACAAAACGAATATCTGTTCATGTTACGTGAATCAAACGGGTGCATTCAGATTTA